ATAATGATAATAATAATGATAATAATAATGATGATGATAATAATAATAATAATAATAATAATAATAATAATAATTATAATAATAATAACAATAATAATAATAATAACAATAACAACAATAACAATAACAATGACAATTATAATAATGATAATGATAATAATAATAATAATAATAATAATAATAATAACAATAATAATAACAAAAATTATAATAATAATAACACTAACAATAACATCAATAACACCACCACCAACAACAACAATAATAATAATAACAACAATAACAATAATATGAAGAAGAAGAAGAAGAAGAAGAAGAAGAAGAAGAAGAAGAAGAAGAAGAAAAAGGAAAAGGAAAAGGAAAAAGAAAAAGAATAAAATGGAAAAAGAAAAAGAAAAAGAATAAAATGGAAAAAGAAAAAGAAAAAGAATAAAATGGAAAAAGAAAAAGAAAAAGAAAAAGAAAGTGAATAAAAAAGAAAAGGAAAAGGAAAAGGAAAAGGAAAAGGAAAAGGAAAAGGAAAAGGAAAAGGAAAAGGAAAAGGAAAAGGAAAAGGAAAAGGAAAAGGAAAAGGAAAAGGAAAAGGAAAAGGAAAAGGAAAAGGAAAAGGAAAAGGAAAAGGAAAAAGAAAAAGAAAAAGAAAAAGAAAAAGAAAAAGAAAAAGAAAAAGAAAAAAATAAAAAGAAACAGAAAAAGAAAAAGAAAAAGAAAAAGAAAAAGAAAAAGAAAAAAAAGAAAGAAAAAGAAAAAGAAAAAGAAAAAGAAAAAGGAAAAGAAAGAAAAAGTGAAAGAGAAAGAGAAAGAGAAAGAGAAAGAGAAGTAGAAGAATGACAATAATGACAATAGCATTATTAATAGGAGCAATAACAATATTAATACTAAGCAGACCACTCACCGCCTGTCCAGCTGCTGGCGCTGGAGCTGGTCCGTGGACTGCGTGCGCTGCGTCTGGGCCGAGTCGTTGCCCGAGGGCCGCTGCCACGTCGTCGTCCTGTTCACGTGGTCAATGTAGAAGATCCTCCCATGGCTGTCGATCCTCGCCTCCCAGTCTGCAAGCAGAGCAAGCGCCTGGCGTAAGAGAACCATTTTGTAGGAACTCGATGGGACAGAACGGGAAAGAGAGGTCGGGCTGCACAGGATTGGGCTGAGCTTAGACAGAAATGGCTGGAAGAGAGATGGGGCGCTACACGGGCAGCGATGGAAAGGACGCGCATGAGCAGACCGTGGAGGCTGAATGGGATGAGGCTGGAATGGAAGCGTAGGAGAGGGGCGTTCGACATGAAACCACTGGAAGGACATGAACCAGCCCTGGTACTCACTTGTTGGTAAAGGCTCTTCTCCCGGCTGTATTTCCACCCGCTGGAACTTGATGGTTCTCTCGGGGATGGAAGGCAGGCGCATCGTGCGGCTGTGGCGCTCAGGGTGGACGGCTCCGTCCTGCACGAGATGACCCACATAGGTAATGGCCACACAGTGTAAAAAAAACTTATTTATACTTCAATTCTTAAAGTAGTAAATTTGCAAACTAGGAAAATGACACGCATAGACAATCCATGGAAATAGTTTACATTAAGTCCTCGCTAACTGCGGTTTCACGAAGACCAGTTCTAATTCTTCCCTTTAGACTGGCTCCGAAGATTGGGTGTTCAAGTTGACAGCGCAATCCCCAATCAGTAGAGGCTTATTTGGGACCTCAGGCTTACTCATTATTTTTAGTCGAGGGCATGGTCGTCTCCTACAAAATGAATGAGCCATTCAAGAAGTTTTAAAAATCCAATAATTTCCCCGGTTGCAACCTGGCGTATTTAGTAGAAATAAACTATACGTGCAATGCTGAAGGCAATCCGAATTATGCAAATGAACCTAAAGTCTCACTCTGGCTTCAAGGCCTTCGAGCCAGCAGGCGAAGCGCCATCCACACCACCCTTCCCTGCGCCGCTCGGGAGCTTAATCGGATATCATCTGCCAAAGTCGCTTACCGAATTCGGATCTCAGAGAATGCCACCCTTGCGATAAGCGGGGTAATACTGTCTCGTGTTTAAATCCATGGTAATGACCTAGAGTAATTATACCGACTACAAAAAAATATCAGTAAAAACACTTTGAACTTGACCGCTAACCTGATCACTCGCGCTGTGATGCGGCCTTCGATGATGCGTGGGCGTGGGGGGGCACTGTTGTGGGAGGGGGGGCGGGAGGGGAGGCGTTGGCCGGGCGAGCCTGTGGTGCGGCCGGGGCGGAGGCGTTGGGGCCTTCTCTTCCTCTTCCTCCTCCTGGCCTTCGTCCAGCCTCCTTCGGTCGCCGTCGCTGCCGTCCTGCATAGCCGTGGTTCCAGGCAGGCCAGCCGTGGTCGGCGAGGTGGCTACCGACGGCATGGGGGTCGACGCCGAGGTGCTCAACGCCGTGGCCGCTCCTCCTACTACGCTGCTGACGGCCGCCGGGGGTGGAGACAGTGCTGGCGGTGGAGGCGGAGGGGGTGCCACGGCTCCCTCGTTCCCTAGGCAGTGGTCAGGACTCAGACATCCTGTAGTCCCCAGGATATTTGGCGTTGACGGAGTAGACGGCTCGGGGGTGCCAACCCTACTACTGGTGCGGCTGCTGCTGCACTCGCTTTCTCCACTATCACAGAGGGATCTCCTGCAAGAACCAAAAATACATGCTCCTTCGATGTCCAGCTAATGTAGCATATATATAGATATAGGGCATACACATTCCGTATTCTGTGACTACCTTCTAAATCTCAATACAACATAACATACGACTATCAGAAAAAAATATATTAATTACCTTTTCTCATTATCAACTTGCGGCACAAAGAAGAGAGGTCTGTGCGTCGACAGAGGCTTGGGAGGCGGCCATTCCCAGGACGTCGTCTTGGCCACATGGTCAATGAAGAATATCCTGCCGTGACTGTCCTTCCGCGCCTCCACGTCTGATCACGCGCAAGCGGGAACATGAATATTATAAAGAACTGAACTGCGCAATACTAAAATGTGCGCAATAAATTTTACCGCCATGGAATCTAAGAACACAATTTTTGAATTGCCTTTCATCAACAGGGAAAAATATCTCAAATGTTAAGCAAAATTCATAACAAGAGGTGCAATATGTGAGCTTACTTGCTGGCAGAGGTTCATCGAAAGCCACTTCCACCTTGGGGTATCTTCTCAGCCAGTCGCGCAACGACGGCTGACGGGACAGCTTGGGGTGGTGCGACGACCCGGGCTTGTCGTCCCTCTCTCTCGCGTCCTCCTTTGGGTTGAAACTCGCCTCTCGCTCTCTTTTGTCGCTGGTTGTGCGTTCCGGGGGCTGCGGCTTGGCGTGGTGCGTTGGGGTGGGAGGGCAGAGAGGCGGATGAACCAAGGCCTTCAGGAGGCGGTGGTGGGGCTTGTGTGGAGGAACTGCAGGAGGAATGTCCTCGTCTTCGTTCAAGCTGACGTTCTGCGAGACGGCTTCTCTTCTGGGCCGGACGCTCGGCTCCTGGGCTTCGGCTGCCGCAGCCTGCGCCTCCTGCGACGCCTCTCGAGGAATGTTCATATCCGCAGAGCAAGACGCGGAAGGCAACGACTCAATGTTCAAGTCGTTGGTTTCTGCCGTGGGACTGGCAAACACGGAGTTTGAGGAGGAGCTCTCTGTGCTGACGACCATGCACGTCGGTTCCAGCCCTGTGAGGCCCTCCTCCCCTTGCTGGGACGACACTGAGCATGTCGCCGAGCCGCTCGCGAGAGAGAGCGACTCCGACGCTGAATTCGAGACTGGGAGGCAGTCTGCTAATCTGGGTGAAGGAGACCTGGTTGACGTCGACCCCTTCCTGGAGGGGCCCACGGCAGACGAGCCCTCGTGGTCTGTCCCGTCGGAATGTGTGTCATCCTGATGAGCCGTGTCACAATTCGCAAGCATCCTCATCTCTTCTGCGATGGTCATTTCATTGCCACGAAGAAAACCATGAGTTGCAGAATCCCTTCTCCTACAAGTGAGATCTGATTCTCTACTAGCACTGGCTTCGTCATCTGCGATCTGCCTCTCTTGAGCACTTAACAAAGAAGTACACTCGCGCAGATCTTCAACTGGACTAGATACAGAATCACTTTGGTTCCTCGCCATCTTATGCAAAGAAGGCATGTGATGATTAAAGCTAGCAGGAGAGGATACCGCTATTTCACTACTTGTGGAACTTCTTGACAAATATGGTCCTCTGTTGCCACAAACAGCGAATTCAGCCTCTAAAACTTCCTCAGAGTTTTCCAGCAATGTGTCAGTGGATGCAGCCTCCTGCAAAAGACTACAATCTTGCTCTGGCGTTGCAAGAGGGGCCACTGCGCTACAGGCCTCTTCCTTGTAGCTGTTGTCGGTGGAAGAGAGAGACGTCCCGCTGGCCTCGTCCAGCGAACTCTGCAGCGTGGAAGGCCTGGCAATGTCCTCCGACATTTCACTTTCCATGGAAGCACAGGAAGAAGATTGCAATGAAGAGTGAGGTCCCTGAGTTGAGGATTTTGTTGCTTGGCACTGGCTATCTACATCAATTTGATTACTTGAAAATTCAGAAATTTGCAAAACATCATCTATATCAACAATATCATAAGAAAATGGTCCTTCCATGGAACATTGCATTCTTCTTACTTCGCCAAAGCTTGCCCCACTACTCTCACTATCACAGCTGGACTGTGAGCTAGCACTAAGGTGGCCGACCTTGGGGCGCACGCTCGGCTCGTTCACGCCGTTATGGACTTTCCCTGGCGTGCAGGAGATGGTCTGCGCCTTCGTGGGCTCGCCGGCGGTGCCCGTCGGCAGGGGCATGGGCCGTTTCTTGACCACTGTTGGGTACAAGGCTATCGATCTCTCGAGGGGCCTGTGGCCGGAGTCCGCGAGCGACTTCAGGAGCGACTTCGTCCTGGGAGGAAGGGGAGGCGGAGAGTCGTCGTCGCTGACAGGCTGACTAGAATCACAGCTGACTCCCGCGCTTAGTCCAGCAGCATCGCTCTCCTGACTCTGGTAGTCTTCTGCTGGGTAAACGGTTTCATAAATGGCTTCTTCGCCACTGGGTTCACTTGCATCCGGTTTTGTGGTAACATTAGGAACTTTGCACGAATATTTCCAAATGGGCGAGTAGTCGGACTCCCTGCCAGCAGCGTCCGTGCCCTCGCCGCTGTTGGCCGCCACGTCCTCCGGCAGCATGTCTCCGTTCACGACGACGCCGTCTGCGCTGCAGCCGGTCCCGACGCCGTTGTTTATTACGGGGTTGTTGTTGCTGCTGCTGCCGGCCCTGAGCGGGAACACGTTCTTCTTGTAGCCGCCCATGTGGCCGTTGGAGAGCAGGTCCGGGGGCCCGAGGCTCTCGATGACGGCACTGTCGGTGAGCCTCATGCTGGGGTCCTCGCCAGGGCACTCGAGTCCCCCGTGGCCCGTGCAAGCACTGCCGCTGCCGCTCGCCGCCGGCGCAAACGTAACGCTGAAGTAGATGTGGCCGCTCACCGAGTCCACCGTGTTCTTGCTGCTCAGCGGGAAGTCCAGCAGTCCCGGGGCGCCGCTGCCGGAAGGACAAGGTAAGCATCGACTATGTGCACGTTTTTCGCACTGCCCTTAAAGCTACGAAAATAAACAAAGTATAAAACAAAGCATCACTTTTTAATTAATGTGCATGTATTAACAATCAAATAAATCAAACACTATACTTGACACACCTATACATTACATTTACTAAATCGAGTGAAGTGCCAAAAAACAGTATCTGTAAAAATATTTCTATGGAAAGTAATTTGGACATGTATTCGTAAGTGAAATAAGGCATGCAAACATTTCCTCCCCGCTCTTGGAGGGAACTCTTCTCTGTCGAAGGAAGGAAGGAAGGAAGGAAGGAAGGAGGGAGGGAAGGAAGGAAGGAAGGAAGGTAGGAAGGAAGGAAGGTAGGAAGGAGGGAAGGAAGGGAAGGGAAGGAAGAAAGAGGGAGGGAGGGAGGGAGGCAGGGAGGGAGGGAGGGAAGGAACGAAGGGAGGGAGGGAGGTTGGGAGAGAGGGAAGGAAGGAAGGGAGGGAAGGAAGAAAGAGGGAGGGAGGTTGGGAGGGAGGAAAGGAGGGAGGGAAGGAAGGAAGGGAGGGAGGGAGGGAGGTTGGGAGAGAGAGAGAGGGAAGGAAGTGAAGGAAGAAAGAGAGAGGGAGGGAGGGAGGGAGGGAGAGAAGGAACGAAGGGAGGGAGGGAGGTTGGGAGGGAGGAAAGGAAGGAAGGAAGGAAGGAAGGAAGGAAGGAAGGGAGGGAAGGAAGAAAGAGGGAGGGAGACAAGGAAGGAAAGGAAAGGAAGGAAGGAAGGAAGGAAGGGAGGAAGGGAGGGAGGAAAGGAAGGGAGGGAGGGAGGGAGGGAGGGAGGGAGGGAGGGAGGGAGGGAGGGAGAGAGAGAGAGAGAGAGAGAGAGAGAGAGAGAGAGAGAGAGAGAGAGAGAGAGAGAGAGAGAGAGAGTGAGTGAGTGAGTGAGTGAGTACGTGAGTGCGTGAGTGAGTGAGTGAGTGAGTGAGAGAGAGGGAGGGGGGGAGGAAGGGAGAGAGGAAGGGAAAGAAGGAAGGAAGGAAGGAAGGAAAGCAGAAAGGAAGGAACGGAGAGGGTAGGAAGATGAAAGATGGATGGATGGATGGAGGAAGGAAGCAAGGAAGGAGGGAGGGAGGAAGGAAGGAGGAAGGGAGGAAGGGAGGAAGGGAGGAGGGAGGGAGGGAGGGAGGGAGGAAGGGAGGGAGGAAGGGAGGGAGGGAGGAGGGAAGGGAGGGAGGAGGCAGCGGCGAGGGCGAGCAGGGAAGAGCGTGGGCCGGGGACTTACGCCTTGCACCTCTCCCTGAGCGTGGCCACCTGGATGGTGAGGCGGCCCAGGAAGCGGCTGATGATGGGGCGGCTCTTGGCGAACTTGTCCTTCAGTTCCACCTCCAGAATGTCGTGTAAGTAGGCCACGAAGGTGAAGTCCTGCGACGAGCCCCAGGCACAGGGAAAGAAACAGAACACTTGTCATACACGGAGCCAAACTCACTATGGATATTGCGCAAAGAAAAACACTCGACCCTCGACCCGGACCGAGCCAACAGGGAAGCTGGTCCCCCTCGGGTCCGGTCCCCCTCGGGTCCGGTCCCCCTCGGGCGTGCGCCTCACCTGCCTCTTCCAGGTAGGGTTGACGGTGTTTTCCGCGACGGCCGAGCGCGCCTCCTGACCGTGGTGCGGCAGCAGCGTCTGTGATTCGCCAGGCAGGATCCGCAGCTTCACGTACGGGTCGGGCTGGAAGAACATCCCCCGCCGCAGCCCGTGCGCTGAGAAATCTGTGGGACAAGCGGCTTAGTGGTGTCCGAGGCTACGAACCATCGGCTGAGTCAGCCGGGAGGACATGAGCCCTCCCGTCCGACTCGCAGCAAGGGCCTGAGGCCGCACTGCACGCGATTGGCCGGGACGGTAGAGGGCACGGGATGCCTGGCGGGTCAGATGGAGAACAAACACATGTTATCGAATACGAGTCAGGAGGAACCAGCGTCTCTATAAATATACAAGTACTTATACAGACCTTGGAGGGAACCCGGTATCCCGGTATCACTGCTCGTATTAGACAACATGTGTTTGTTCTTGTCTCTGACAAGCTAAACTTCCCGCTACCCTCTGCCCTCCCAGCAAATCGCATGCAGTGTGGCCGTGCCCTAAGGACAGCACGGGCAGGAGTCGCTGCATCCTACATCATGCGGGCGTTCACAAATCAGTGCAAGGCTAAAAGTAACTAGGCTTGAAAAATACTTTAAAGTGAATATCTTTGAAGCAAAAATTCATATTCAATACATGTTTTTTCATGACATGGACTCCGTCAACCGAGCAAGACTCGCAGACCGTTAACAGCAGGGGCCACGCGGCCGCCTCCGCCTTACTTGTGAGCGTGAAGCGCAGGAGCTTCGTGCACGAGAGGCAGCGCTGGAGGGCGAGCGAAGGGTGCAGGCTCTCGTCCTCGGAGGAGTCGGAGGCCGAGCCATCGCTGAGCCGCACCACGCGCACCACCGCCGATGACCCCAGGCACGCGCGCCGCGCCTCCACGCCACTGTGGTAGCGCACTACCACGCTGCCCACATCTGCGGAGACAAACAGCACCTGCACTTCCACTCTCTCACCTCTGCTGCTTATGCACTATCATCTTTTCTGGAACTGGGAGGACACGTCAGCGCCCACTGCAAGAGGTCATGCATGATAAGGAACAGAGAACTGCAAAGCGAAGGCTGGGTTGGGAGGAGTCGGCGCGGAGGTCCCTGCTTCTACAGGCCAGGCCGATCATTCTCACGCGGTTCGATGCCACGCTTCCGGCCAGGTCACGGGGCACGGGTCGGGGGCAAAGTCGCGTCTGTGTCACAGCCCCTCTCTTTCCCTGCCTCCGTCGGTGTAATCTATACGCCTGTGTGCGGTCGTTATCCAGAGCCACGCGCATGAATATGCAGATCTGCATGGCATGGCATGGCATCTGTCATGTCCGCCAGGCCTGGTCCGCCACTCCGTCTTGGGCTGAGCCAGACCGCGGCGCCGTCTCCTCCGGCAGCGCCAGTGCCGGAAGGAGCACCTGTACGTGTGAATAAACAAAGGCCTGCGGGGTGCTGGCATCAGCTGAAGGCCAGGGAGCAGCCCCAGCGCCCCCGCCCCTGGCATGGCCTGGCATTCCACTTACTCTTGGGAAGGACAGCCGGCACGTCGATGGCCCACACGACGTGGCCCTGCGACTCCCCGCTGGCCGGGCGCCGCTCTAGACACTTCTCGGGGTCGCTCTCTCCTGAAAGCAAAGCACAGCTCACTTAGCTCGTCTGCAAACCAGCCATCAACCTTTCACGGTTGTTAGCGTTTTCAATAGCATTACTATTACCATTATTACCATTAACTTCCTAAATAATAATAATAATAATAATAATAATAATAATAATAATAATAATAATAATATCAATAATGATAATAACAATAAAACCAATCACAATAATAATAACAGTGGGAGCTACGGCCCTCCGGACGCCGCTCCGCCCCAGCCCGGCCAGGGGCACGAATGGCCGTCGCGCGACCCACGAGGCGGCCGCAGCAGCAGCGGGATCGCGTTCCTGTTATTACCGCTATAAAGTTCTATGCCTCTGTTCAGGCGACATTGTTCTCCCCCCTTATCCAGCTCCAAAAATAGAATGATGTCAAAAGTGGGAACCAAACCTGGGGGGGGGGGGAGATGAATAGGAGAAAGCGAAGAAGAAAAGAAAAGTTTTTTTCTCGTTCGTTGCGTCTTCTTTCTTCTGTCGCGCCCGTCGCTGCCGATCGTATGCCTGCTCTCACGTGAAATGACAGACAGACGCGATGGCGGAGCGAGGGAGGGAGATAGCGAGAGGCGCGAGCGGGAAGGCTGGCGCAGCGAGAGGGCCTTAGCGGGGGAACAGCGGAACAGGACACAAGATAACTCTCCGCTTCCTCAACAGGAAATCAGGAGAACGCGACGCGTCGCAAATCCAGGATCACAACCAGGACGAAGATCAGCCGCGCAAGGCTCGGGCCGCGACGCACAACAGACAGACTGCAAGGCGCTCGATGATGGCAACAATATCCTCCTTACCCTTCTATCCACGCCGTGCCCCCCCCCCCCCCCCCCGAGCACCCCCAGCAAAGCCGAGAGAAAAAAGCCAAGCACAGAGCGACCGAGCCGTGTTACCTGACACAACGGCAGCGGACATCGAAAGACTCGCCGGAAGGAAGGCTTCCGCCTCCGCTCATTCACTCGCACGCAACGAACCGACTGGCTGCCAAGCGCCTCGGGAACATTTGTGAATGAAGCACGAGCACCTGTGCAGGTGTGTGGGCGGCGCCCGACACTTGACTCAACACGCATAAATAGACCCACAGGCAGGAGTGGGGGGAGGGGAAGGGAAGAGGGAAGAGGGGGCGGGGAAGGGGAGGGGCAAAGGTGAGGGGGAAGGGGAGGGGGAAGGGAAGGGGGAAGGGGAGGGGGAAGGGGAGGGGGGAGGGAAGAGGGGACAGC